CTTATTTTGTTTTCCTTAAGTAGAACGAAACTACTCTATAACCTCGCACTGGGCAAATTTATAGTGGGTGTATTAATTAAAACAATACATAATAGCCCAAATGATGACAGAAAAAGAGCAAACTTTTTTCATTCAAGTACTATGTCGTGAACTCTTCCTTGAATTCCAGATTTGTATATCCAATCATCTAATAAACATCTCCAGTTGCCTGTCCAGTAGGCAGAAGTAACATAAGCAAAAGTGACATACTATTGATTCTTTGTTATTCACCTCCCTCAAGTCATGTCTATTTTGGAAAATGGCACCACCACCCAGATGCTCAGGATAAAACTCTAAGGGACAATCCTGACCCCTCTTTTATTCTACATTCCCACTCAATTCATCAGTAAATCCTGCAAGCCGTACTTCCAAATGTGTCAAGAATCAAGCTATGCTCATCATCTCAACTGAAAAGAATTCTAGACTAATTTACCCTTCTCCTAGACTATACTAACAGCCTCCCAGCTAATTTTTGTGACCTCATTTTGGCCTCTTTACAGACCATGGTACATACAGCAGGTAGATGGTCCCCAAATGCCCTGTGTAAAACCTTTGAGTGACTTCTCACCGCAATTAAAAAAAAATTTTTTTACCATGGCCTATAAGGACCTATGAAATCTAGACCCTGACTCTCTCTCCTATGTCATCTCCAACTATTTTGGCTCTGGGTCACTATGCTCCAGACACAAAGGTCTTGTTACTGTTTTCAGCCCTTTTCATTGACTATCTTGCTATCATTCAAAATACCATGGATGACTTAGCAGGACTAGGAAAAACAAAAACAAAACTAAAATTCACACAGTGAAACCTTGAAAGGACTTTCTAGAATTTTTAAAGATTTTCATTAAAAGTTGGAACGTAAAATTACTTAATATGCATCTTCAAAATAAATCAGTATGACCAATTCGCATTGATGTCTATAACATATAAGTGGTTGGCAGGCCACCACCTAAGAAAGAGCAACCTTTCCTTAGGGTGCCTCTGAGAAGAGTAGAGAAATGTATCAATATTCTCACTTACATAGTGACTCCTCCAAGTACAAAGTTTCTCCATCTGGAACATTCTACTCAACAGGGCTTCACATGTTTAATCTACCATTTAATATAAAATAAAAGGATCAACATCTCTAAGCAAGACTGCAATTTCTTATTCGTACATCTGGTTCCTTTGAACCACTGTCCTGGCTGCAGAAATTCAACTTTAACTTTGGACCTCTTGCTGGGGAAGATGAAATCATCTTTTAGTTATCTAATCAAATTTTACCAAAAGCATTTCTTTTTATTATTCTGATGCGTCCCATAACTGACTTTATCTGCTACTTTATCACACACTGATAAGAATAGCATCCATTCCAGTAATTTACATTATTTTCATTTTCTACATTACTTTTAATGCCACAAACCCTCCCAAATTCCATTCTTACTTTTGTTCTCTTCTCTTTCTCTTCCCAAAGAGAGTATTTTAAAGCTAAGATTTGAGATAAGTCTATTTTACTCTCACTAGTAATTGCTTGATGTGACTATATTGTGTTTGACTAGCAAATCCTGATAGTTCAGAAAATTAATGTGTTTATATGTTTCTTGTTATGAACCAAATTATAGTATCAAATCATTTGGAGAGAACCAGTTCTGAATTGGAGTATTTTATATGATGAAAGAGTTACCTCTGTGTGACTTAGGAAAATTTGGTTCCTGATAGGATTAAGGTCTGTCTTGGACCTGTCATTTGTGAAGAGTCATCTCTCTTGGGGGTTTCTCTCACAATAACACACTGAAAGGTCATGGAGAATCTGACGCCAAATTAATTGTATATACCAAACCCACCTATACTGTAATTTCAATTGCATAATGAGATTCATAACTCACTTCAATGCTTCTCCAATTAATGTGTTAATTGTTGCCTCTAATCCTTTAAACAAACTGCTGACAACTTCAGCAGTTTGGGAGTGTTCTATCCTTCAGTCCTCTGAAAGCAAAACAAACAAAGCCTACAGAATCTCATGTCCAGAGTTAGAGCCCAACAGGCATTTACTGTGCATTAACTTTGAGAGAGATGGTGGCACTCTGCGAGGTGCTTGGGGGCCCAGCTCTGTGTCCTATAAAACTCATGCTCAATTATCACAAGAAAGAACAGATGTAAAACATTTCTAACTTAACAGAAATTTGCTTTACTACGGTGCTTATATTTTAAATTTATATTTTAATTATTTACCAGTTTCATTGTTTTTCAAATACAATTTCAATAGTTTGAATCATTAACACACCTTCAACAGCGTGGATACTTATAAGCACCGCAACATTTTATACTTAATAGATAACTGTAGGTCATTTAATTTTATTTAGTATAGTTTATTTTTAATATCAGAAAATTGGGAGTTCATTTTAACAGATATGAAAAAATCATAGACGCACATAGTGTTATTTAATTCATTTCACAGCTACATAACTAAAATTGAAAGTGAAAGGCAAAAATATTTGTTCGTATTCTTCTCAAAGAATTTTTTAAAACATGTTAATAAATACCTATGACAATATTTTCAAAACCATTTGCGTTAATCAGATATCTTTTAGCAATTTTAAAATGTTGAGTTCAATTTCTTTTAAGAATCTAATAATTTCTATTTTTTGTCTTAAGGAAGATATACATCCTCCAGTGTATCCAGCAATTTCAAAAATCATATAATAAAAATTTAGAGCCAAAAAGTAATGAGACAAGTAATTTTCAAAAGTTAAAGAAAAAATACAGACAAAGATATTACTGTGACAAAAGAATATAAATAGACGGCAAAGTTATAATCTGAGTTATTTGCATAATGATCAAAGATGCAAGAAATTTTCTACACATGGGTAGTAAGGCAAAAGCGTAGTTTAAAGAAAATAATTTCCCGTTTTTTATTCAACCTTTGAGTTACAGTCTGAAGCATTCTATTGAGGCACATTCAGTACTGAGATGAACACAATGCCTACAATAATTATTAAATGACAACTTCAGGGGAGCTAATCCATTTTAATAACTGGCTATTTGAATAATTTTATTGTTTTTTATATAACTGACTCCACCAATGAGAACTGCTGAATAAATGAATATAGTCACAGGCAGGCTGTGTTTCACTTACATACTATCTGTCATGCTCACTGCTTGTATAGGCTGTCTCACCAGAGGGTCAAGGGAACTGAAGCAATTGTCATCTCTTCATTCCTCCTGCCCCTTGCCATTTCTGCAGCTGACTTGCTAAGCAGGTGAGCTCACCAATTCACAGGCAGAGCCCCCACCATGACCCACCTTCTTCTCAGTTGCCCCAGTGCTAGTCCAGGGCGGTGTCTGCTTTCAGGAGACAAAAGGAGGGAGTCTCATCAACATGCTCCAAACCTCTCTGTTCTTCCCAAATCCACCCCGCCCCTCAAGGGATATCCTTCGTTCTCCTTCTAGAGACAGAGGGCACACAATGAGCAAGCTTTGGGTTTGTATCCAAAATGGCGATAGATCTTATTTCACTCCTTTGTAAAAACAAGGGCTGAAGTAAAGCTACTTTTCATATGCAATGAATTTCAGGAATGATGGCCTTATTAAGACTGCTTGAAAAAGTAAGTCCTAGTTTGTTTCACAGGATGGCTTATGATAAGACTTTCAACAAGACACAAAAGGGTGTTGCTGCATTTGGGAACTGAAGGTTGAAGAAAGAGTTTGAGGGGATGCTCTGTTCCTTGACAAGAAAAAATCATAATCTTGATAAGATGCAAATAGTGATGGTAGTGAAGAGAAAAAAAAGGAAGGGACATTATAATAAAGCTGGAACTTGAAGAGGATGCTCCAGCACTTCACTGGGAATAACAAAGGTACACAGGAACAGAGGAACCTCACTCTCAACCTCTCTCACCTTAGCCACGTCAGCCCCACTGTCACAACTAATGGCAACCAACTGCTTCAGTGTGAATTTAGAGGAAAGAAAGTTTTTTGACCCACTTCCAGGGTACACCAAATTGGAAATCCTAAATGCAACTTCTTATAAAAGGATTCTTCGTTGGTGATGAACTGGTGAAATATCCTAGTACTAGATAGCACAATATATCTATGCTAAAGAGTTTTCATTGAGTTAATATAGAGATTGAGCCACAATAGACTTGCAATTTGCAAGAAAAATTATTTTCAAAAGTTTATAAATGCCAAAATTGTATTTCAGTTCATAATGTCACACCATTAAGTTATATATCAAACATTTTAAAAATGCAAAATAAAATGTACACTTCAATGGAGGATATCAGTAGTATAGATGATTCAAAAAGAAAAAAAATCTCCTAAATATATTTTGTCTAGAAAAATATTAATTGCTTTACATTTCATCTCCCTCCAAAAAATTCCCTTTGCCAAAATCATGAAATAATGGTATTATACATGGTATTGGGAAAAGGATTTCAAATCTACGATGAACCAAAAAAGTGAAAGCAGTTCCATTTTAACTATAAATACTTGAGTATTATCTGCAGAGATTACCACTCATTTTAGTGCCTGAAATACAATTCTGTCACTCCCAGTGGGAATCCTTGCTATGTAATATAAGAAACCATATTCAGTCTCGTTAACAGTAGGATTTCTAAAATGAAGTTCAGTACTCCAGAGGTAGATTGGTACCAGATCATTAATCCAACCTCAGTAAACAGTAATCGATATGAGTGAAAGCAAAAATACGCCAAAAAGAGAAAAAGACCACATCGAGGTTTAAACTATTCTAGAAAACACAAGTGAAAAGAGCAACATGGAAAAACAACTCTGGTCTGAGCTATCTAGGTAATTTGAATTTTTCAACTAACCTTGTTTAGCACCTTTCATCTCTATCCACACTTAGCTTTAAATTACTTATCTTAGAGTAGTATTTGAAATATTGCAGAGCTCATGATGCAGAGATGTTTTATCACCATCAAAATTTGTTTCTAAAAAACACACACATATATCTACATACTTACTGGAGATGTTGATACTTGGGTTATTCTTAACTGGTTTTCCAAATCTTGTACTTTGTTTTTAAGTTCCATATTTTCTGTTTCTAAGTCTTGAATCTAAAAAGCAAATGATTATTGAATAACCTTCAGAAATTTATTCTTGGAAAACATTAGCTATTATATTGGTTACATTAATGAATAGCATTTTATATTATTTAAAATTTCAATGTACTCTTGTGCACAGGGGAGAAAATTATTTGATAAAGCTCGGGAAATAGAGAATTCTAGGTCACTGGAAAGATACATCATTAAATTTGAAACACGTTTTTATGTATGTGCAAATTTCATGTTCCTAATACCTCATCTCTGTGTTTTCTCATTGCACTGTGCAATCTGTACCCATAATCTTGGAGTATAACCACAAGACAGTGAAACTTGCTTATGATGATTTCGAAGAGAGTGGAGAAAGGGTGTAATTTAATTACAAAGGAATCTGATCTGCATGGGAAACCACTTACCCAGCATCTGCTGCTTCTGCTGCTCTGATCCCCATGAGAAGCATCAGGAAGTGAAGCAAAGTCACATGAGAACACTAAGTTCTTGTGGGAATTCAATATAAAATGGTTAAAAACTGTGCAGGGGATCAGGAATGAAAAATTATAGGAACACAGTGAAAGCAGTTCCAATCAGTGTGGGGGAAATTTAATGGCAGGCCTTCTAAATCTGTTTGATGATATGCAAGTTTCCCTGTACTTACATCACATAAATGTGAAACAACAAGCTTAGTTTACTCACTCTTTTCTGTAATCCTGCAATCTGTTTTCTTGTTTCAACATCTTTTCCTCCAGATTCCAGAAATTTCCTGTATGCCAGGTCAAACGCTTGGCCAATTGTTAAAGTTATCTCTTCAGCCTTTGTAAAAATAAAAAAAAAAAAAAATGATTTGCATTTTAATAATAATATGTCCAACTGTTCTTTGATCAGGAAAATATTCGCATGAGGTACTTCAAAAGGGCAACGGCTGGGGGTAGAGATGTAGGAAATGAGCAATATAGTCTACGCTCATATTCAATGCCTCCCCATGCACAACGTAAAAAAAAAGGCAATTACATGAATAGCTGCTGAAGTTGGAAGCAAGAGCTCTAGCCAACTTTTCATCTCTTTGATCATCGTATTTTTTCCTAGTTTGTTTGCCTCCCTTCCTCAAATTTTTACTGCCTATTAAATGGAAGCATCGGGCCAACTTATTTCCTCATCTTAGTGAGGAGGGTTTGTTAAACCTGGCGGGTAATTTGAATACGTGGCTGGGCGTTGTCCGTGGAAAACTCGAGATAACGCCCTCTTCAAACGGAGCAACTGCTACTCAGTTCCAGCTTATTGTTGGCTTGTGGAAATAAGCAATTCCAACGTAGAGCCGTCAGATTTTAAATATGTGAGATCTTAATTTTTATATAAAAGCTCCCAATTTTAAGTGATTACGAACAGTATTTTTGTAAAACACAGTGTTGATTGAGCAAAATATATATAGATCAGAAACTGCCACAAATATCCTAAGTCCACTGGCTCATCCGTTCTCCATTCATATCTCGGCTGATAGCACAGCCTTGCAAAATGTAAACACTAAAGAAAGATTTACTTAACACAGAAAGAAGTTGGTAAAGGCATTCATTGATTTAATACATCACAAATATGCCATATTTAATAAGACCTCCAGATGACATAAAAACTGAGAATAATATTAAATCTTGAAAACGCCATGCTTTAACTGATTTACTGCAAATTCTAAAACTGTGATATGCTATGATCAACCTAAGTTGAAAATACGCTTTATTAATAAAACAGATTATTTATTTAAAACATTGTCATTTTTGTACTTTGCTACTTTTCTTTAAGGAGGGCTTTTAGCCATAAAAAATATTTATAGTGTTTCGTTAACTAAAAACATGCAAAATATATGCACAAAATTATATAGGAGGACTATCTGTCTTACAAAAAAAGTAGGAAAAGGAAAAGAAAAGGAAAAGAAAGGCAGTTACATTAAGCAATAGTATATAAATGAAAATGCCAGATACCACATTATGTGTGCTCAATGATTCAAACTAATGAAAAATATATATGGAAAAAAATTTGCTTGTTAGATGTTGGGATTTTGTGTACTATTAAAACATAGTAAAAGTGGTTATAATAGGTTGTAGGATTATGAGTGTTTTTTTCTGTTTCTAATTTCAAAACTTTGGGCGACATGTTTGTATTTGTTTTATAATAAAAATGTATATTTTTAAATTATGATTATTTCTGCTACCTTTTTAATGATGGGTTCATTGTGTCCTCTTAATAAGACAAAATGTTATACTCAAGCTGTATACTATAAAGAATCATTTAAGCAGTAACATTGTTGATTCATCATAAATAACATTTGACTTCATTATTATGTTTACAATAATAACTTTTTGAAAACTATATTCTCTTTTTATGATAGACATCTTTTATGATAACACGTCTTTTTATGAAAACAGCATTTGCTATCTGGTAAATATTCTCCATACATTCACTTGATTCTCATAGTGGCTGTATGTGGTTGAGATTATTACTATCCCCATAATACATACGATACAACTGCAATTCTTTGAGGTTATATAACTTGCCCCAGGTCTCATAGTGAGCCGCGAACCTGGAGTTCAAATCCTGAATATCTGACTCTATAAGCCTCACACTTTTTGGGAGAAGAGGATAAAATTTGTATACAATAAAATGCACAGATCATAATTATACAATCAGATTTGTTTTGACAAATGTGTATCCCTATATAACCACTATATCATTAAAGATATAGAGTATTTCTCTTATCCCAGAAAGCTCTCTGTCGCCTACTGCTAGCCCAATCACATTGCTTATGGGCCACCATTGCTCTAATTTCTATTATCAGAGATCAGGTTTGCCTGTCCTTGTATCCATAAAAATGGACCATACAGCATATATTCTTTTGTGTCTGGCTTCTTTTTGAGTTTCTTAGATGTATGTAGCATTTATTTTATTACTGATTAGTATTCCATCAAATGAATATATCACAATTGATTTATCCATTTGCCTATTGAGGGATATTTGTGGTGTTTTCAGTTCTTAGTATAAATAAAGCTGCTACAAGGATTCTTGTAAAATCTTTTTGTGGACATATATTTTCATTTCTCTGGGTAAATATCTAGAATGGAATTGCTAAATCATAGGATAGGTCTATGTTTAACATTATAAGAAACAGCCAGTAAGAGAGTTCTAGTTGCTCCACATTCTCACCATCAGATATTGACAGTCTTTTTAATTTAGTCATTTTACTGAACGAGTAATGCTATCTCAATGGGATTGTAATTTAAGTCTCTCTGTTGAATAATTAGATTAGCCCAGTTTCATGTGACCATTGGCCTTTCTTATACTCTCATTAGTGAACTCCCTATACAAGACAGCCTCCTGCCCATTTTTATTTATTTTTTTTGTCTTTTTATTATTGATATTTAGTTCTTTATATATTCTGGATACAAATCCTTTTTCAGATATAAGTTGCCATTTCACTTTATTAATACTGCTTATGGAGTAACAGAAAATTTTTATTTTTGATTGTTTCATGTTACTTTTTTTCTGTTATATTAAGTGCTTTTAGGGTCATTTCTAAGAAATCAGTTTACTTAAAATTCATAAAGAGATTTTCCTATTTTTAATGAAAGTTTTATAGCAGACCATAATAACTTTTACTTTTATGTCTATGATCCATCTCAAATTATTTTTATGTAGCTTAAGTATGGGTTAATTTTTAATTAGTATGTTTTCATATACTTATCTAGTTGTTCCAATACCATTTGTCAAAAAGACTTTCCTTTATCCATTGAATTGTCTTGTCACATTTTGATTTTTTTGGCCTCTAAAATATAGTTCATTTACTTATTTGGCTATCATTACATCAATAACACCCAATTCTGATAACAATTCCTTTAAAGTACATTGTGAAATCAGATAATATGTGTCCTCCAACTTTGGTCTTTTCTTTCCAGATTAATTTTTTTTTATTCTGGGCTGTTTTGTATTACCACAGTAAAAGCAACTTTTCAACTTCTACTAAAGATCCCATTGTAATTTTGGCAAGAATTGTCTTGAATATATAGATCAATTTGGTAGAATTGACCGCTTAACTAAATTGAGCCTTCCAAACTATTAATGTGGTAGCTCTGTCTTATTATTTTAAGTCTTTACTTTCTGCAAAGTTTCATAGATTTCAGCGTATATTCTTAAAAAAAAAATCCTAATTATTTCATGTTTGTTGATGTTTAGTAAATAGATTTTTGTTTCTTTTTTTTCTGGTAGACAGAAACACAACTAAGTTTTGTATATTGACCTTGCTAAATTTGCTTCATAATTCTAGTAGTTATTTGTAGATTCTGCAGGATATTCTTTTTAAAAATTCATATTTTATCTGTGAAAAAGATAGTTTTACTTCTTTCTTTCCAATCTTTAAGCCTTTTGTTTCTTTTCCTGACTACTCACCAGCTAAGACATCTAACACCATGCTAAATAGAGGAGTGAGAATAAACATCTTTGTCTTGTTCCCAATCTTAGGAAAAAGCATTCAATAATTCACCATTAATTTTATGTCATCTGCAGGATTTTTAAAGTCCTTATTAGAATAAGAAGGCCATTCTATTCCTAGGATACTGTTTTATCATTAATTGGGTTGAATTTTGTCTAGTGATTTTTCTGCATCTATTAAGCTGATTATTTTATAGAACTTACCAGTGAAACTATCTGGCCCTGGTATTTTTAATTTAAATTTTAAAAATATTCAACTAATGTATATTCAGATTTCCTATTTTTTCAGCTTCAGTCAGTTGAGTTTTGCAAGATATTCATTAACTTCATCCTATTTGCCAAATTTACTGGCTTAGCAGTTATATAGTATTTCTCCTTGTATTCTTTTAAAGACTATAGGATCTGTACTTATGTCCACTCTTCTGTTTCTGGTATTGACAATTTGTGCTTTCTCTCATTTTTGTCCTTGATCTAATCTTGTTAATTTTATCATGCTTATTGAAGAACAAACTTTTGGCTTTGTTAATTTTCTTTATTGTCTGTTTTCAATGTCATTGATTTCTATTCTTTATTATTATTGTTTTACCTTCTACTTTGTTTTTAATTTGTTCTTACTCTAACTTCTTAATGTCAAGACCATGATGATTACTTTTAATCCTTTTCTTTTTTCTCATAGAAGCACTTAAAGCTATAAATATCCCTCTAAGCACTGACTTTAATGTCTTTTACCAATTTTGATATGTTGTGTTTTACTTCTATTTGCTTCGAAAATAATCTAATTCCCCTCGTGACTTTTCCTTGAGCTATTGTTATCTGAAGAGGTTTTAATTTCAAATATTTTGACCATTTATGGTCAGATAACATACTCTATGATATTTTCAATTCTGAAATTTATTGAGTCTTGCAATATGGTCCATTATTGTGGACCTTTGTAAACATTCCATGTGCATTCAGAAAGAAAGCATATTCTGTGGTTGGTTGGAATAGTGTTTGGAACGTCAATTAGATCAAAGTGGTGAATAATATTTTTCTAATTTTTCTTAACTTTACTGATTTTTTTCTCTGATTGCTCTGTGAGTTGTTGAGAATGGCATTAAAATCTACAACTATGTGGGGCTGGCCTTGTTGCCTAGTGGTTAAAGTTCCATGCTCCACTTCTGTGGATTCAGATCCCAGATGCGGACCTACTCCACTCATCAGCCACGCTGATGGACTGACACAGATGTTAGTTCAGGGCCAATCTTCATCAAGCAAAAAAAAAAAAAAAAAGAGGATTGGCAATGGACGTTAGCTTAGGACAAATGTTCCTCAAAAAACTACAACTATGATTGCTGATTTGT